CAACGCAACCGAGACAAAACCCAACCAAAAGCTGCAACAATTTGTCGCCGTCTGTGATTAAAAGTGTGACATTTACAATCACACTCACATTCACATTTTCCCAGCCTCTGAACTTTTTGCTGAGTAATTTTAAAACTTCCAGCCGAGATTCTTCCCCTTTCTAAATGTCCTCTTTTTTTTTTTTTTTGTTGGCTTTTCCGCGGGCGGAAGAAAAAAACTTGAGGCCATAACCGGATCATCGCATTATCGTCCTTCTGGCCAGGATTCTATTGGATTTTATTGTTATGCTTATGTGGCACTTTCATTGCATTTTCCTTGTGGCCCCATCACATTGTCCTGGTATGCCTCTCGCTGCTCCAGAAGCTGGCCAGGGCAAAGTTTTTCCGAAAACCAAAAGAAAAGCACTGCAAACTGCTGGCCAACTAAGTTTAAGTAGCTGCAACATAGATTCCAAGCACTTCCTATGGTTCCAAGGCCCAGTTCTGGCTTCCAAGATGTCCGCGGGTGACAGAAAATATAAAAAAACAAGAAAGGAAGCTAACTTCGGCACACCGAAGTTTGTATACCCTTGCAGATTGGTTTTGATGTTAATATTATAAATTTAAATGCTGAAAACACTCACAAAACAGAGTTTCATTACATTTTACTTATACTTATTATGTTTACAGTTTGACAGTTACAGTTGTACATTCCCAGCTTTACATTTTCTTCACATTTACAGATCGTTTATATGACAGCTATATGATATAGTTGTCCGATTTTCATAAAAATTTTACCAAAATTCTGAAATAATAAAAGAAGCTTATATAAGATAAGAATATGTTGAAAAACAACGAAGTTATAATTTTTTCCTATTCTTTTTCCGATCGTTCCTATGGCAGCTATAAGATATAGTCGTCCGATTTTCATAAATTGTTTACCAAAATTCTGTAATAATATAAAATGGCTATATCTTAAAAATGATGCAAAAATATTGAAAAACAGCCAAGTTATAATTTTTTTCTAAAAATTTATCGAACATTTGTATGGGAGCTATATGATATAGTCGTCCGATCCGGCCCGTTCCGACATATATAGCAGTGAGAGTATATAGAAGACTCTATGCAAAGTTTCATTCAGATAGCTTTAAAACTGAGGGACTAGTTTGCGTAGAAACAGACAGACGGACAGACGGACAGACGGACAGACGGACAGATGGACAGACGGACAGACGGACAGACGGACATGGCTAGATCGACTCGGCTGTTGATGCTGATCAAGAATATATATACTTTATAGGGTCGGAAACGTCTCCTTCACTGCGTTGCAAACTTCTGACTGAAATTATAATACCCTGCAAGGGTATAAAGATGAGAAAAAAACGAAGGAAATTAAGAAAGTCTAAGGATATTCAGCACAGTGGAGCTGGCTTCTCTTTTCCCCTTAAAACATTTTTATTTAATTAATTTAAACCATTCCAAAGTTAAGCTAGATGTAAATTAAAAAGGAAAAATTTATTTAAAATTTAAATTTTTTAAAAATATGTATTTTAGAAAATACTTTATCTAGTAATGATTTCAATAGATTAATCACACCAGACAATGGCGATATACCCTTAACTCAATAAACATCGTTGAAGCACTCGACAAAGTGACACCAAAAACCTGGTAATCCTTTATGGAGCATTAAATAATTTATCACAAATTAAATAAATGCGACAAAAAGGACAATAAAGAGCAGAAGCTGAAACCGTTTGGGGCGCAATCAAAAATGCAAACATTGTTTGGCATTCGCAGTTAATAAATGGCGTCAAAAGGACATGTCCGCAAATATGCATTGTTTTTTGTGATTTTATTTCAGATTTAACGAATTCCCCGTCGTCTTCTCTGCGTCTCTGTGTGTGTGTGTGTGTGGTGTGTACACACACGTTCAAAAATATGTGAGCAATGTCGGTGCCCCCCGCCTGGCGCCCACAAAGCTGCGCTAATGTCATGTGTGTGTGAGTGTCTGTCTGTCCATTATGCAAATTAATTTTTGGTAGCACCAACAAACACCTTTACCCAAACACACACACAGTCATACACACACACATACACACTGGCAAAGCTGCGATAATAGTGTTTAGGCTAGCAAAAACAGCAGCAACAATGGGCTTACCGCAAGAATGACGACAAAGTGATGACCAAAAACGCAGTCAGCAACTTTGCGACTATTTCAACAACACATTTCCCTTCCGTTTCCGGTTTCCGGTAACTCCCCTTTTTCGGGGTTTTTTTTTTGATCCGTTGATCAAGTTTCTGAAAACCCTAAAAAGAGGGAATACAACATTTTGAATCTGTTTTAATTCCTAAAAAAATTAAATAACTGCGAGCTAGATCTATATTCATGTTCAAACTGAAAATTATGTTTTCTATCTTAAATTTACAATATTTTTCAGTGGTAAAAATATACAGAATTAATTTGGAAAGCTAGTAAAATATAAATATAATAAAAAAAAAGGTCATTAATTAAAATGCTTGCTGCCTGGTTTGATTATTTAAGAACTTTGTTGTTCAGTGTATTTACGCCTAGGTTGCTTTCTCGTTTCCAATTTCCAGCACTATTTCCAGTACCATTTCCAGTACCATTTCCAGGACCATTTCCAGTACCATTTCCAGAACCACTTCCAGTACCATTTCCAGTACCATTTCTAGGACCATTTCCAGCACCATTTCCAGGACCATTTCCAGCACCATTTCCAGGACCATTTCCAGGTTCTGCTACATTTGACCAACGTTATTTTTGCCTATGAGAGAGGTAGGACTATGGTCTGTTTGGAGTGCGGGTTGGCTGCCTCTTTGAGATGCTATTCCCTGGGGCTCTTTACATATTAATAATATATTAGATTTTAGAATTCATTATTTTAAACAATATAATATTTAATCTTGTTAAACAATATTGTAAAATTGATATGGAAGAAAAACCTCTTCTTAAAATTGAAATTAAACTCAAATTGATTTATTTACTTTTTACTTAATTTTACTTGAAATACTATTCCCCTCTGATAAACGAAATATATATCCCTATCCGATTTATGTATATGTATGTATTTTTAATATATATATATATTTTTTTTTTGTCTTAAAGATCCAACCCTGTCCAGTTGATGCACTCACCATATACTCTCTTGTACATGAATAAACTTTACATACTTTGCATGCATTCATGCGTGCCTATGTGTGTGTTGGTGCACCCTTAACACCTCCCCCGAAAAAACATAGACTCTCCCCCAACCCCCAACCCTGGACATCATGTGCCTCCATGTGGTCGCCATCAAAATTGACAAAAATGCAAATTTATTTACAACTGCAGCCAGCGTCAGGGTCGAGTTGACGATGGCGAAGCTGCCACGTGAATGAATGCCAATGGCAGCTGCAAAAAAGGGGGTTCTTTAGAGGGGGGTAATAGAGGTGGTAGGGGGAGAGAAAGGCGGTAGAGGAGATTGAGGGGTTGAGGGGTACAGAGGGTTTATAAAACAACTCGGCAAAATCAACGTGCAAGAACAGACACTTGAAGAAATGTCAACCAAATTTTTAAATAATTTTTAAACATTTTTTTTTAATAAAAATTAACTTACAATAATAATAAAAAAGGATTTTTTTATACACAAATTTCTAGGAATTCTAGAAAAAATAATTTTAAACATATTTTTAATCTAAAAAATTAATTTTAAATAATTTATAAATAAGCTTATTTTTGAAACACAGAATTCAGAGCAGAATTTGCTATGGCTGCACTTTTGAAGTTAAATTAATTAATAATAAACATTAAAAAATAATTTAAAAAATAAATTTTTAAATAATTTATAAATAAACTTATTTTTAAAAACACAAAATTCCAGAAGTTCTAAAAGGAATGAGCGGACACTTAAAGAAAAGCTTAACAAGATTTGAAATAAATTTTCAACATTTTTTTAATCTTAAAAATAAATTTCAAATAATTACAAATAAGGATTTTTTTGCACACAAAATTCTAGGAACTCTAATGGAAGTTTTTGGGCTTAAATTAATTTATATATATAATTTTAATAAATATTAAATAAGAAAAGTATGATATATATTTTAATCAAATTTTTTGTTGTTTAAGCTTTAATTAGTAAGTGTTCCGTCTATCGATTTTTTTTGCAGTGCATACACCAACACCAACTGAAACACCAACAACCAAAAACCAGCAGCGAGGCACATTGCACTGACAGTCGAGCTGTCAAATGTCGCAAGTGTATTTGAAAAACGTGGCTACAAAATGCGCAAAACATTTCCCTGAAAATACTTGCGTGGGCGGTTTTCGCATAGTCTTCGTTGTTTCAAACTAGGAGTGGGGGTGGTGTGGTAGTGAGTTTTCCGGGGAGCTGATGCTGCTGCTGTTGTTGTTGTTGTTGTTTTCCCCGAAAAACAGGTGACAAAACTCCGGCGGACAGGAATCCCAGCGTGAGTTCAACTTGGCCAAAGTAGCTGAAAAGTGTTAAAAGAACTTAAAAAAAATATAAATCAAAAGATCAGAATTGTATTGCTTTATTTTTTAAATTTTTAAACAAGATTCAACACTTTTTTTAAATTAAATAAGTAATCATATTAAAGATAAAATAAAACTCTTTTTTTCATTTAAACCCTTCTTTTCTTTTTAGTTTTCAAACCCCAACTTTCTTTTATTTTTATGCAATTTCCACTACTTCCTGGCCGCAATTGTCCTGTTAAAGAATTTAAAGGACTCCCTTCGTAATTGCCCCCCCCTTGCATTTCGATTGTGGCAAGTATACCCACGTGTGTGTGGCAGGTGGGGTCCCCGGAGACGCAGACAATCGAGAAGGCAAATACTTGGGAGTCACAATGCCCGGAGCTGGCGCATTGTGTAAACTTTTAAATTGCCCGATGCAATTGTCCCCGGGCAATTACGAGCGATGGGTCCTCGGATAAGGATACGCGGCCAGCGTGGCCTGGAAAGAAAAGTCAGGCTTGTCAGTTGTTGGTTTCGGTAGCTGCGACATGTTGGCCCAGGAGCTGCTAGATCTGTACGGTTTGGTCATGGGCTTCCTGGCCGGCGGAGTGACCACCATGATCTACTACAATCCCGCAGGACTCGACTGCAGCTGGAATGTGCTGTGGCGGAGCAACCTCACCCACCAACCGCAGATAGTCTGGCAGAACGGCAATCCCTGTCCGGATCTGTACAATCAGTTCAATGGCGACATCCTTGTCCTGGCCTGCCTCTCGCCGGGGTCTATGGGTGAGAACTGCCTTCTTAATAAGGTTTAACAAAATATGTTTACGAGATACCTTTTTCCAGGTGAACTGCACTTGAGGAACCTGGCCAGCAGTCTACGACACCTGATGGCAGTGCCAGTGCTGGTCGAAGTGGTGGCCCAGGATCGGAAGGCCTTGGCCAGCGAATATCTATCGATTTGCCTGCACAGGCACCTGCTCAATGTGGAGCTGTATTTCCGGGACCACCAGAAATCCCTGATTCTGTACAGCTACCAGGCCTTTCCCCACTTTCGGCTGATCCAGAGGTCACTCTCGGATATCCTAAAAACCCAGATCTTTGGCAATAAGCTGGGGAATCTGCGGGGACATCGCCTGCGTGTACTCCCGGATCTGTCGCCGCCCAATACCTTCGACTACCGGGATGAGCGGGGACAGCTGCAGGTGGCCGGCTACCTGTGGGACTTTATAGTCACCTACGCCAGCCAGCGGAACGCTAGCCTGGAGGTGATCCGTCCCGGCTGGCGGCCTGGAGGCGCTGCCGACAGCACCTATATGCTGGAGCTGACCAGGAACGGCACGATGGACTTTGGCCTGACCACCGCTTTCATCACTAAACGGAATGTGAACCTGCTGCACCAGTACACCTACCCCATCCTCTTCTCCAGCTGGTGCACCATGCTGCCCGTGGAGAAGCCCATTCCCAAGGACGATCTCTTTGGCAGGATTATGTGTCCGGGAGCTGTGGTCCTTCTGCTGGCGATCCTCCTGCTGGGCTACCTGGCCTTTGCGTGTATGGATTCTGTAAGGAACTGCGCCTGGCTGAGGATCCTGCCCCGGCTAATGGCCCTCATCCTGCTGACCACCAGCACCGCCCAGCTGCTCTCACTGCTGATTTCACCGCCGCCCCACAAGAGGATCGAGAACTTTGACGATCTCTTGAGCAGCAGTGTCCGGATCTTGGGCATGAGCAACGAGTTCTACGACATGGACGGGGTCTTCCGAGCGAAGTACGCCGCCGCCTTTCACCTGATCAGCGATCCGGACGAGCTCTACGAGTTGCGCAACCACTTCAACTCCAGCTGGGCCTACACCATCGCCCTGATCAAGTGGCATGTGATTGAGCAGCAGCAGCACTACTTCTCCCGGCCCCTGTTCCGGCTCTCCACGGACCTGTGCTTCAACGACTATGTGCCCACCAGCTTCGTCCTTGCCCCGGACTCCATCTACTACGAGTCGCTCAAGGACTTCACCCTGAGCGCAGCGCAGGCGGGACTCATGAAGCACTGGATCGCCAAGAGCTTCTACGACATGGTCGCTTCTGGCAGGATGGACATCCGGGACTACAGTGAGCAGGTGGTGCAGCAGCCCCTGTCCATGGTCGATCTCCGGCACACCTGGCTCATCTTTGGGGCAGCCATTGCGGTGGCCAGCGGTGTTTTTCTGCTGGAGCTGAGTTTGTTCCACGTCAATGTTTTTCTCAACAGCATATAGAGTTCTCTGGGGGGAATACGTGTTATGAAAAAATATTGCAAAATTGCTTGTTTATTTAGTTTCTTACTCAAACTATATTTTTTTTACAATTTAATATTTTTAAAGTTTATTTTTAACTTAGAAACCCAACTATTTGATTTTTTTATCTGACCTAAAATTGGTTTTCTTTGACATTAATCGTCATAATTAAGTTTTAAAACTTTCTAACAATGAAAATTACATTTCTTTTGTATAAATTTCGGTTTCTTTTAGTTTTTTTTTTAGTGAGTTATCCCATAGTTCCTAGTCGATTCCTTTGATTCAAGTTCAAGTTCGCCGGCAACAATGAGTCTGTGCATCCCTGAACCCCATTCGGTTATGCATGGACAAGTTTTCAATGCTGGGAAATTGGCAAATAAAAAGATAGAGCAAATGAAAAGGGAAAACCGCAACTTGGCGACAAGGAGATAGACTCAAATTAGCTCTGTTTGTTTTCCCTCAAACGCAACGAAAAGCGATTAAGTGAAAAGTTTACCCCTGCACTCCGGTGCACTTTTCCGGCTGCGAATGTTTTCTGCTCGATTTGATGGCAGTGGCAGCGGCAGTGGCAGCATTCAAATTGTGTTTGCAGTCGTCCGGAAAGGAAAGGAAAGGAAAGAGAGGAAAAATTGAGGAAAATATAGGAAAAACTAGAGGGAAAAACTTGGCTTCACAAGGTCGCGTTTTGCCCAATAACGGTTCCAATGTCCTGCTTAAAGTCGCCCTCTTAAAGCGTTGCCCTTCACAACAACACGAATATATATACACACACACACACACACACTCAATGTCCTTGTCCTTGTCGTCCTTTGCCGCGTCTTCCGGAAGTGGCGTTGATAACACGGCGAAAAGGAAATGAACACTTTTTGGGCAATGGGGCGCAACGGAGTTACTATAAACAGCAACAACAACACAGACACTCGCGAATGAATAAATTTAACTCAAAATAATAACCACGAATCGACGAAAGCTCTGATATTATTTATTAAACATAAAACTTGACAATAATTTGTTATTATTTATTTCTTTATATTTATTAATATTTATTTATATATTTTTGTATATTTATTTATATATTTATTTATATATATTTAAATTTTTTTCAGAAGTATTGCCCTAAAAGGATATTAAGGATCTATCTAGGATATGCAGAACAGGTTTTTGTATTTATAAACACAAGTAAATGACAGAGATTTTAAATACGTTTGTTTAAGAATTAATTTTGCATTGTTTATTAAATTTTTAATTAACATTTCAGTATTTTCAGTAAATCTTAATTTTTTAAATATTTTTAAACATCTGTTTAAATATTTTTTGCACCAAAAACCATAATAAAAAAACGTAGAAAGGTCAAGAAATTCATGGTAAATCCTTTTAGCTTGTCCTGCTATCAAGAAAGGGTATCTGGCCTTTGAGTAAGCTTAACTCCCTATTCCCTGCCGGCGGTTATCTTCGCCTGTGACCTCTGCCCTACACGCCGAACCGGTTCACCTTCGCCCGCCCTGCCCCTCCGTCGCGTTGGCAGCCTTTTTTGGGCGTAAATTTTATTGAGGTCGAATTGAAAATGTGGCCAAGTTGGAAGGGCTGGAAAAAGGGGGCGTGGCAAGGCGGAGGCTGTTGTCTGTTGCCTGTTGCCTGAGAGCCAGAAAAGGGAGAACGACAAATGTAACGAAAAATTAAAAGCATTTTATGCGCAAATGGCGCGCGGCATTTAAAACGAATGCGAAATATGGTAACACGCGATTTGGCGGCCCCAGCTGACAATCGCAGTCCTCTTCAGGCCCTCCGCCCTCCCCCCCTCTCGGGCTCAACCACTCGCCCCCCCCGCCGAGTGCGTATAATTTATGTGGCATTTAATGAAAACGGAATTGAAATTTAGTGCGAATTTATTAAATGATTTTAAATTGATGTTGGCCTCTGGACCGCATGGCAGCAGCTTCTGCGTTCCCCTCAGTCCCCCGAAAACATTTAAATTATTGGCTCTCCGCGGCTCAGTTTTGATGATGAAAACTGTTGATGAGGGGGGAGTGCAGAACAAGAAGCGAGATAATTGCATTTTGAAAATGCGATTGAAAAGTGAAGAAAAAATACTAATCCATATAGAAGGAGGCATGGATATACAGAAAAGTATTGCGATATAAATTGTTAGCCTGATAAATAATAAATAAATAAATATCATAAAAATTAGTATATATAAATAGATAATTATGGAAACAAGAATGTAAGCCTTCCAAGGGAAAGTTGAAGTTTCTAAACTATTGCATTATAAAATAACTTTTGTGTGCGTTTTTTTTTAGATAAACCGAAAACTGTTCCCAGTACTTCCGGTTACTGATAATTTATTCAGCCTAAAAGATGCACCATAAAATGACCATGCAATCGGGTTTGAATTCTAGCCGCCAGAGAGCGTGCGTCAAATGTACAAATTCTAGCATACTTTTTTGGGCAGTTAAAAAAAGAAAAATAAGAAAAGAAAAAACACTCGATTTGGGTCTGTAAAAATTACCATATTATTTATCAGTTTGTCTAAAAATAATCAAATGTACATAGCTACTGTGGTAGGATATGCGGCAAGAGCTCGCTAGATGTAAGGGACTTTGGCAAATCCAGCTCAATGGTCAGGAAGCTAACCAGAAACCAGAAAATGCCAACTGGGCTAAAAGGGAAAATTGCGCATTAATTAAATTTAAAGCGTACGGCGACCGCGCATCATTAGAGTCGTACAATTAATGCGAATATTGTTGCATATATGTAGACAGGACGTTTCGGGAAATCCCTTTTCCGCCGGCGACCGCAAAAGGTAAACTTGCCGATCAATTTTTGCCCTCGTCCCGTTGGTGGCTCGTGTGTGCAATTAAATTGTATAATTTTACAAAATTAACAAACAAACAAAGTGAAAAATTGAAAAATCCCTGTGCAAACAAAGGGTTAACATATGTGTGCATGTCCGCTTCTGTGTGTGTGTGTGTGTATGTTTACACCTGGCATTAATCACGCACATTGCACCCGAATCGGAATAATTTCAGGTGCTATTAATTTTTAAAAAACACCCTTAATTATTTACATAAATAAGCACTGAACGGTGCACCGGGGATGGCGGCGGCCAACTGAAAATCGCTCGAAATTCACACATTTTATTATTAATTATTTGTCAAACATTCCATCAGGCTCGAATTTCGATAATGTTATTATGGGCTCACCATGATTTCACTTTTAACAGTGTTTTTATTTTTGTATTCATACTCCTGCACGGTTTTGTTATTTCAGTTAGGAGTTTGCAACGCAGTAACCGAATCATTTCCGACCCTGTAAGATGTATATTTTCGTGATCAGCATCGACAGCTGCCATTTTGGCTGAGTTACAGGTTTCTAAATTTTGAGTTTTTCGCAAAAAAAAATATATATATATATATATGTAAAAACAATGGTACCACTTTCTCCAGATTTTGAAAGGAGTAACATCGTTAAAATTGTCAAAAATTGGCAAAAAATATGCAGTATGCTGATTTATTAGCCCTTTATTAGCATTTTAAGCTGAGTTATTGATTTTTTAATTTGATTTTCCCCAAAATTGGCATAACAATCAGGCCTGCTCCGGTAATCGTAAAATTTTGTTGTCAAATCTGAGGTGGGGTCAGAAATAAATTTTTTATAAAATAACTACCTGCCAGAATGATCTTATTGTGTTGTGGAATAAACATCAATAGACCACTAAGTAAACTATTTTTTTCCTTTTGTAAATAAGATCTGATTTCAAATAAAAAAATCCATTTACTTTTCTTTCCGGCCAGAAAAAGGTGCCCGTTTTTCAAATCGAAAAAATCTTTCATTTTCGATTACCGGAGCACCGAAATTGGTTTTTAAAAACAAAAACGAAATAATCTTGCCGTTTTCGATTACCGGAGCAGGCCTGAATATAAAATGCGAATAAACAAACTGTTCCCAGTCCTACGCAGCGTAAAATTATGCTTTGTATTGGCACTTTCGCTTGTTGCTAATTAATTCAGCCCAAAAGATGCACCATTATTTGGGTAGCAAGGTTATTCAGCCCAAAAGATGCAGAGTTTTAGGGGCAGACAATTTTAAATTGCATACTTTCGCGGTGCACGTAATATTTAAATTTAAACAAAAAATGCAAAAAGAGCCTCATAACTCGGCCAAAAATTCATGAAATTCGATTCGGAAAGCTGTTCTGAATTGCCTTTTCTAAGCTTATCTAAACTGCATACTCCTACTTACCTATAATTTATAAAAAAATGTTAAACCTCATAACTCGGCCAAAAATGCATGAAATTCAATTCAGAAAGCAGCTTTGTTAAGCTTAGAAAAACGAACACAGAACAGCTTTCCGAAATTAATTTCATGCATTTTTGGCTGTGTTATGAACATTTCAAAATGAGGTTTTTTTCCCAAAAAATATCAAAATAAATCGCAACATTTTTTCAAAAATTGAGAAAAAATGAAATTGAAAAGAACCCTAAACGTAGTATGCAGTTTTGGTATGCTTAGAAAAGCTAACTCAGAACCGCTTTCCGAATTGAATTTCATGCATTTTTGGCTGAATTAAGAACCTTAGAAAATTAGTTTTTTGCTTTTTTTTTAATATTAGCTTTTTTCCAAAAATTATCAAAATAAATCGCATTTTTTTTTCTAAATTTAATTGCAGCAAGCTGCCAGGAACTGAAAGCTGATGCCGATGGCGAGACAGAGAGCGTTGGCAAGGAGGATCTGGACGAGGAGGAGCAGAAGCGGACCAGGTGTTGGTGCCACCAAGACCGAGCCGAAACCACTGGGAACGACCTCCGATATTTCCACATGCATCACCTTTTTTTTAATTATTTAAAGCTGAAATAAATAATAATCCTTAAAAAATGTGTTATTTTTGAGTTATGAGAAGGATGCTGTTTTTTTTTTTGGGTGGGATAATTTAAATAAGCTCAATAGAAGGACATTCTTGCGGTGGCAAATGAAAGAAACATCAA